GAGCAGCGAGCTGCGCGGGCGGCTGCCGGGGGGAAGCGGTGAGTCGCGGGTGGCGGGAGCCGCGGGTGCACTGCGCGCGGGATCCCGGGGGAGGCGCGCGGGCTGGGGCGCGGTCCGAGGGCGCGCGGCGCGCTGCAGGGGAGACCCCCTGAGATCAGAAGCTCATTCTCAGGGCTGCGGTGCCGCGGGCCGGGGGTCCCTACACCTTGGGGACCCCCTTCGTGACGCTGCGCGACAGCTCCCCGCCTCCAGCATCCCGAGGCCCTGGCGCCCTCGAGTCCGCGCGGTGGAGTGGGTCTCGCCCCGCGGTGGGAGGGGGCTCGTCTGTCCACGCCCACGAGCACCCTGCCGTGCTGTCCCCGGCGCAGCGTGACGAAACTTGCCGCGAGAGCACCCAAGATGGCTGCCTCGGGGACACTGCACCCCAGGGGTGGGCGAGCGACTGCCAGGTGACCGCGTGGCTCAGGCCCCGTGCCTCTCAGCATCCTAGCTTTTGGCCTCTGCACTGGCAAAAAGCGAGGCCTGGAGATCAGAGTGGAGACCACCTGGCCTGTACCCGGGAACTCGCAGTCTAGTGGCAGATGTGCTCGTCGCCTCGCTCACACCTTGCATTTCTGGCTTTTCTCCTGATCCCCACGTGGCATAGGGCTCTAACTTTCCTAGAATGGCAGTAACCGCTGTACGTACTGAGTGTGCGCCACATGGTATAGGTCCCTTAGGTCCCTTGACTTGTACGTTCTTCTAGCCCTGTGAAGTACTTACCATGGTCTCATAATCCAGATGGAGGAGGGCAGGGTCAGAGAGTTTGAATAACCTACCCAAGGTCACACAGCTGGCCATCCCTAGACTAGGGCCATCAGAGTAACAGCGTAAGTGCTGCAGCCTCAAAGATGCTTTTGGTGTATTCTGTCCAAATCTCCTCACACACGCACACCTTCATTACATTACACCTGCGTTTATTTTTTTTCTCTTTAATAGCATTTGTAGTCAATCAAAATAAACAATATTCACTTGTTTTATCTTCTTGTGAATAGGGCCTAGGTGTGTCTTGCTTAACCTGCTCCCCAACACTAGCAAGCAATTGCTTCCACCAAGTAGGTCTCCACTGAAGATTTGTTGAGTGCGGGTATGAAAAAGGCAGCTCTGCTGGACTTCAGAGTTTGGGCATTTAACCAGGCCATAGACAGCTGCCCTCTGACACTCCAAGGCGTTCTGTCTCCTTCTTATCCTTCTAATCACTCTTCTGCTTGCTTTCTGGATTTTGACCTGAATCCCTCTGGATTTTTGTCTTTCTCTTCTCTGCCCCTCCCTATTTTATTGAGCTGCTTCCGTGTTCCAAGCACTGTAATATCGCAGTGCTGGAGGGAAGCAGGGGTAAACTGAAAAGGCTCTACAGCTCTTAAAGTGCTGGACAAGGATTTGAAGTATGAGAGAAAATTGTTCAGAAAAATGAATGAAGTCCGTACTAAGACGTTCTGGGACCTCAAACAGTTCTAGGATGGCGGGTGCCTCTCTTGCAAAACTTATGGTGTTTGGAGAGCAGAATCTCTCAGTTTCCATCCAGCTCAATATAAAATTCCTTTGTAGCAAGAGATAGTCTATATCTCGTAGACGTTTAGCCCATGTGGTCATTCAGGAAAGGGATAAGATGTGTGGCTGCAATTGTCAGAGAGAAACCTGGATAGCAATGGGTGGCCAAGATTTTCTGTAAGTTTTATGAAATCCCATGGGGAGGAAAATAGAAAGGCACCAATTGGGAGAGAAACTCCCACTCCCCATTCTTACTTCCTGCAGAGAAAGCTGAGAGGACAGACAAGACCCTTAAGGCAGGTCCACTGTCCAACTTCGTTGTTCTCAGATACCTTAGAATAAAATAAGATGTCCGACAGATCCTACTGGGCAAGAGTGATGAGATTCATTTAGTTGTAATATAATCATGGATGGGTTCAACTTCTGACTTGTGGTATAAGGTAAGAAGTCAGTAGCAGTAAGGTTTTTTTAAGGTTATTGTTTAGGAAGTAAAACATTTTAAAGATTACATTGCACATATACATTAACCCTATGTATCATTCATATATGTACACATACATATATGTGTATAAAGATAAATAGAGAGATAGATAGATAGATAGAGATATATCTCCCCTCTGCTTAATTATGCAAAGTTTAGTGTCAAATGTTTAGTTAACTACTGTTACTTTGTAAAATAATTCTATGGACTTGGGTATATATAATCTGTGAGTTGTTTCTTCTAAGTGGGTGATAAAACATCCTACTGAAGGTGTCCTAAATTTTATACTTTGGCAGTGTTTTATCATTTTTATAGACTGATGCCACCATCTCAAGAATTGTGGTTGCAGTTAGTTGGTCAAGGATTTAAACCTCTCCTAAGATATTATTTAAGCAACCCAGACTCAAAGCTGCTCTTGAGGACTGGGATGCAAACAGTGACTGTGTTGTCACAAAGATGTTTAAAGTTAATGAAAGGGTGGAATCTACAGAAGTGTTGGGGAGCATAGTCACCATGCTAGTCACTGTCCATATCTTCCTACTTCCAGACAGGAAGAGTATGCAGAATGCAAACCTGTTGCTAAGTGGAAATGTTCTTCGAAAGAATCCAATTCTTCACACATGATTCACCTTTTGTATCTATAATTTAATGTCGTATGTGGCCACACCCATAAGGAAAGAATGCTTGTTGCAGGTGACAGGCCAAAAGCCAAAGGGAAATTAGTGAACTACTTTTGGGGCTCTTTGGGTTAGTGTGACCATCCGTTGCCGACATTGCCCGGACCTCTAGAGGACCAGAAGTGTGGTACAAAGTCACAGAACTGCCGCTTCCAGCCTGTGCCATTGAGCTTGGCACTTAATTTCTCTGAGTAACTCTATAAAATAAGGGAAGTAGGGGGCTGGGGATTTAGCTCAGTGGCACAGCACCTGCCTGGCAAGCGTAAGGTCGTGAGTTCGGTTCCTGGTACCAGAAAAAAATTTTAAAAAATAAAATAAAATAGGGGAAGTATCTTGGAAGGATATGGTGAAGATTTAGCAGTCTATGATCTGTGGAAGCCCAGTGTCTGGAACTTACTGGGCACTCAGACATGTCCATGGGACAGCAGACAGCAGGTGGGCTCTTTTACACCTGCCTGACCCCAGCTGAACAATGACAGCTTAATTCCTTTACAGCACAATAGTTTTAACCAAGAGCGAATTTCCAGTTTAATAGGAGTCATCATTTTTAATCTAGCCAGGGTTAAAGACCTTTGTTACTAATTCTCTGAGAAAGCATATTTCCTGCTAATTAGTTTTCTGTGAAACTTCAGAAAATTCTTTCCCCAGCAGGCAAATGTTTTCTTTGTATGTAGCCAAAGGTTTGAAATACAAAAAAATTATTTTTCTTAGACTTTTCTGATCAGGTTCTTTGGGAAGCTGAGGCAGCCAGTCTCCATCTTTCCCTTCACCGCTGCCACCAGTGCAGTGGCTGCCTCTATGGGCAAGCCCACAGCTAATGAGGACAGGAATGTCCACTCTCCAGAGAACGCTTGTTCACAATGATCCGTCTGTATTTGGATCTAGGAATGAAACTCAGGGCCTGTACTGTACATTTAATAAAGATTTTAAAGACTTCCTGTATATTTCAGCTTGGTAAACAGTACCAACTCTGTGATCCAGTCCTCATCTCCATTTTATTGATGAGAAAACTGAGGCTCAGGACTATAACTTCCCCAGTGACATGCCCACAAAGAGATTAACAGAACCAAGACTCAAATCTAGATAGTGTTCATTTAAGTCCATTACCCGTTCCAGAGATTGTCAGAGTAAATTCTCAGAATAGGCCACAGGGCAGGATCCAGCCAGGGAAAAGAGACCCAGTTGGAATTGCCCAAGTTGGAACTGGGGTCACTGAAGTATTTATGCTACCACAAGAATCTTCTTTTAACTGGCAGAGGACTTGTTTTTTTTTTTTATTATTTATTTTGTATTTTTATATTGTTTCAATGTAGTATCTCCCAAACTTACTTGGTGTGATCATTGATCATTTATTTTCCAGAGCATTTTCATTAATCCAAGTTTGTAGTGCTCAGTGTGTAAATCTTTGTCAGAAGTTGGTATGTGTGTATAATACATCTTAATTCCTTTCTATATCCTTTCCCTTGCCCGTCCCCCCCGCCGCCACATCCATCTCTTGATCCTCTTCCTTTTTATGGGAGGTGGGAGGTGCGTGCCCTAATAATATTTATATTCATTGTGTAGAGTTGGTACATTTACTTAACATATCTAAATTCCTTTTTCAGTCCTCTTTCCCTCTCTTCCTTTCCCCGCCTCCATTTCTTGGTAACCTTCCCCTTTAAGAAACATGTATCTCCCTACTTCCTATTATTTAGCTTTTTTTTGCTCTTTATTTATACTTTGGGTTTCTCATGTAAAGGAAACCTTGTGAAATTTAAGTTTGTGTGTCTGGTTTATTTCACTTAACATTATGATCTCAAGGTACATGCACTTTGCTAACAATGACTTAAGTTTATCTTTCTTTATGACAGAGTACTACTCCATTGTATGTAAATACCACATTTTCTTCATTCATCTTTTGGTGGACATATAGGCTTCTTCTAAGGTTTAGCTATTTGAATTGTTCTGCCATAAATATTTTTATACATATATCTCTGCAATGGGATGTCTTCAACTCTTTCAGGAAGATAATATACATAGAAGGGGAAGGGCTGAGTCATACTGCATTTTTAGTTTTATATTTTTGAAGAATCTCCATACTGATTTCCAGGGTGGTTGTACTAGTTTACATTCCCACCAACAAGGGAGGGTTACCCTGCAGCCTCACCAGCATTTGTTTTTATTTCATTTGTTGGTGATAGCCATTCTTTTTGGGATAAGATGGAATCTCAGTGTTGTTCTAATTTGCTTTTCTCATCCAATCCAAAAATGGGCATCTGAAATGAACACACACTTCTCAGATAAAGAAATACAAATGGCAAATAAGGTCTGGGGATTTAGCTCAGCGGCACAGCACCTGTCTGGCAAGCGC